AGTCCCTATTAAAAATAGCTAGGTATTTAGGTAAATTAGGGTATTTAAGTATTTTCTATTTTAAACAAATATTATGGTATGGTTTAATTTGTGTTTTTCCCAAAATACTTCAATTTGTTCATTAAATTATTGTCGGTAGGTAAATATAAAATTCCCTGTCGATATACGGCCGAACGGACTTTTTCTTTCCTTTTTTCTTGGTCTCAGGCATTTCTTACTTCCTCCTGGGCTCTTGGTCGCGAGAGAATTGTCGACTTAGCAGCGTGTGTTCTCGTTACAATAAATATCGCTTTTGCGGATCTTGCTGCATTTTGTGGGCAAAAATTTGTTTTGTTAGTTCTGGTGAATCCAGTGTCAACCGTTGTTGGTTGGATTTGTGCCCATAAAACCCGACATAAGGTACCACTCACCACGAGGCCGCCCTACAACAAAGGTAAAACTTTAAATAATCTTCACTAATTTTCTATATCTCTACCTCACTGGGAAACCTACTTAGACATGCTTCTCTCTTTTTTTTTTAGGCCTCGTAATCGTCCTCGTACTCGCACTCATCCTTGTTTTAATTTCATCTCATTATATTCGCACTCTCACCCTCAACGTCACCGTCTTCGTCGCTGTTAGTGTACTGGGTGTTTTCCTACTTCATCCTCATATACCGGGTGATTCATTGCCAGTGGAAGTCCAAGGTATCATAACCCCGGACCTTGGTTAAACAACGCAGGCTTACTCCTCGCTTTGGTTGGATTATTATCTGCACTGGAGAGCAGTATCCCTATCCAAGACTCGCCTGACATAACTCCCAGTTGCTGCCTGGCTTCGTGTCCTTTTGTGGATGCTCCTGTATGGTTGGAGTAGTAAATATTCCCCTGCATAATCGTTGGAACCAGTCACTGGTGCTGCAGAAACCGCTCAGATAAGCTTAATTTTAAGTTATGCATGTTACATAGTTAATCCTTATCTGATTTAGCCTGATCTCATATAGTATATATTTTATTCTATCTTTTATTTGGAA